GGTAAATGATTCAAGATTAACGGAGGACATAGGGATTCCTTTGAGCTTCATGAGACCGCTGATGTTTTAAGTTTTACTGGTTGTGTTGATGGCCTTCCTATTTGTCTTTCAACTATTGGTGTAGACCCCTTGCAAGGTTTTGTTGGTTTGTATTATAGAATAATGTTAACATTTTTCCCCAAGAATAATAGAAATCTTTTTTAAAAAGTGAGACTATTATAATTTACTTATTTTTATTTTATGTGCATTAGTGTTTTGCCTGCATGTACATCTAAGTGAGGGTGTCAGACAGTTGTGAGTTGTGGGAATTGAACCATGGCCCTCTGGAAGAGCAGTCACTGCTCTTAACTACTGAGCCATCTGTCTAGCCCAGTACAGTCAGTCACAGTGGCCAGGCAGTGCAGCATTGGTCTCATAACAGAATTCTCAGTGGTTATCTTTCGACTTAAGTTTTGTTTCTGTTGCTGACACAACTACTCTGAAAATCTTAACCACTACTGCTAAGCACCCCTTGAAACTCTTCCCTCTTGTAAATCAATATAATCATACCCGGGTTGATGTGAGTCCTGTCTCAGGGTATCTGTGCTAGATTCTCTGTGATTTTCCTGCTAAGGGGCATGTGTTGGAAGACCCTGCTGTTTGAGGTCACAGTCCACCATCTCCAGATGGTCTTCTGAGCTCAGTGCTAGATGCTAGACTCCCTCCTCCCCGTAAACAGGGCCTCCTACTCTCTGCCTGACCAAATCTGGAGAATGTCTCTAGGCTTAGAGGCCTCTCACCATATCTGGAGTATAACCTTTGACACAGCTCGCTGCAAACCTCTCCCCCTGCTGCCCATAGGGTAATTAGGTGCTGTGTTCCCATTCCTATGATAGGACCACGATGGCAGATGCAAATGAAGCTTCCCTGGCACTTCAAGCCCCAGCCAGTAGTGTGCATCTACCCTGGGAACCTTCACCCGAATAAAGCTGAGCAGTCCCACTGAAGCTGGTCTTGGAAAGTTAGGTCATCATGCTCACAGGCCTTCCGAACCACCCATTTGTTGCTTCTGCTCCCTTGTCCCCGGGGCCTGGTGGCCAGCGGCCCCTGGAACAAGGGAGGACCACAGGCATGTGTTACTCTCTTCAAGACACCGATGATGAAATTATCTGTTTCTAGTCCAGGCTATAATTATCATGCCCTGCCTAAATCAGAGGGATAAACAACTTAAGTTTACTCGGACAGTTCCCTTAGTTCCTAAGCCCCTTTTAGATGACCATTAGTTCTTGGCTGAGTGGGTGACACCTGTTTCTAGCTGAACCCTCTCACCATCCTACCCACCTCCAGTGACATTAATATAACCTTTTTGCTGCAACCACTTATACTGTGCTTACATGTCCTCTGAACCATGACGGCTTGTTTTTCCGGTCTTCAGGCTGTGTCTTGCTCCTCCCGCTGTTCTTGTTTCAGGTTCTTGCCGCCTCCTTAATCTCACAAGAATTAATTACCTTTACTACATGCACTGCACTGGCTGCTTGGTAACTGGCTGCATCCGTCAGACTTTACCGCCTGCTGCTTTTGTTGGAGCTAGACGACCTCCTTCTCACTGCTCCCGGTCAACTTACCTCAGCCTTGGTTTGACAGCCTGGAAACATGGGCCTTGGAGTCCCTTTCTAATGCTTGAAGTCATCCTCGGAGACTCATCGCTGCCCTCGCTCCAGGAATCACAGCTCTTGTTAGTATCGATGGAGCCATGGCTGCCTCGAGTCCATACTGCTGATCATGTAAATAACCTTTCTGGAGGCCCCATCTATTGATTGTTGCTCTTAGAGCCTGTGCTGTTGGTGTTCTGTTCAGGAAGTTGCCACAGAGGGCCTCTGAAAGGCTCTACCCTGCAGGGTATCGAGGCAGATGCTGAAACTCATAGCCAAATTTTGGGCAGGGTGCAGGCAATCTTATGAAAGAAGAGGGAGACAGAAAAACTTGGAGAGGACAGGAGCTCTGCAGGAGAGCAACAGATCCAAAAAGTCTGGGCACAGGGGTCTTTTCTGAGACTAATACGCCAACCATGGACCATGAATGGAGATAACCTAGAACCCCTGCACAGAGGTAGCCTATGGCAGTTCAGTGTCCAAGTGGGTTCCATAGTAATGAGAACAGGGACTGTCTCTGACAGGAACTGATTGGCCTGCTCTTTCATCACCTCCCCCTGAGGGGGGAGCAGCCTTACCAGGCCACAGAGGAAGACAGTACAGCCAGTCCTGATGAGATCTGATAGACTGGGATCAGAGGGAAGGGAAGGAGGACCTCCCCTATCAGTGGATTGGGGGAGGGGCACAGGTGGGGAAGAAGGAGGGTGGGATTGGGAGGGGAGGATGGAGGGGGGTACAGGGGAGATACAAAGTGAATAAAGTGTAATTAATAAAAATAATTTTAAAATCCTGCAGCAGCGTACAGAATCATTAATTAAACGCTTCAAAAGCATATGGTGAAATGGAGGAGCACTCTTCCGGGTTAAAGGACAATACACCAACAAATCAAGAAAGCAACAGTGATACTGGATTAGTTACTGAAATAATCTTTGGTATTTTGATAAGGTCCATAAATTACATCGCAGTGACATCTCTGTTAACTGACTAGTGTTTTTTAGACTCGTGTATGTAAAAATAAAGATGTTTGCAATTTACTCTTTGATTAAAAAAAAAAAAAGCCAGTTTCTATTTAAAAAAAAAAAAAAAAAAAAGCCCTTTCTGGAAATGTTCCTTTGGCACTCATTACTCAGGAAAAGGTAGTTTGCGGGCTAGAGGATAGAGTCAAAGCTTTAGAGGAAGGCATTTTATATATGGGAACTCAAATTCAAAATATTAAGATTAGGCTTGCCACTTCAGGTCATACTAACTGAAAATGGCTTTGTTCTGTGTAGCTCCTCTGCCTTAGCGCGGCTCTCGGTTACCTGGGAACATCCACAAGGAGTTCGGAGTAAAGCTGACTTGGCCCTGGATATGTACGAGCTTCAAATCAGTGCCATCTCGCAGGCTGGCTCCCAAACCCCCTCAGAAAAGGGGGGGGGGGCTAGAACTTTTCTTTTCTTTTGTTGTGACTGAGTCTTCTTTCTCTGATTCCACACGTCCTCCTTTTGAGTTTTTGAACCCTGAAGGAGTTCTGTCTGGATTGGGACAAAAACAAAACAGAAGGCAGATGGGGGAGACAGACAGACAGACAGATTGTGCAAGAATTTGGCGCCGTGGAGCACAAACCAGTGCTCACTTCTTCCTGTAAGATTTGAGGCGAACAAAACGCCGTTTAACAACTTACCGTGCTCACTGTTCACCTTCGAATTCATCACAAATCCCTTAACGCGCCTTAATATTTCAATATTGACTGTTTATAAACATCCCCTTCAACTTTTTTGTGCGTGTCCTTTGTCATCTTCCATTGAATGAATTTATATAACTTCGGGCTTTGTTTTCTTCTGTAACACCAAATGATTGTAAATAAGGCATAGTTTATTAATTGATAAAACGGCTTCCTAGCCGCCATCTGTTGTTGATTTCCTATGAAGCGGACACACTTCCTTCCGAAAACATTGCAGTCACAAACCGCTGTTAATGATCATCTTTAGAGATAAAAATTCCATAAACTCCAGTCAGCCGCTGACATTCCCCAAGTGCCAGCGAGCCCCTGCAGGGGATTAAAAGCGCACCCCACTGCGCGCTCGGAAGTGGAGGCTGACTTTATCTCCTGGTACTGACAGCGGGGAAGGCTGGGTAAATCAGGGCTGCCCTGCCGCCGGTCCGCTTTGTTGTAGTTTTGCCGTCTGCACCCGCTGACTTCTGACACCGCAGTCTCCGCGCTCAGTGGCTGTCCTCTGAAGGGGCACAGTGGTTGGGCCGTGGCAGGACTTCCCACGCACAATGCTCTGAACCGGGGGGCGGGGGCGGCCAGAAACAGGAGCCTTCTGGAGGGAGCAGCCTGGGAGGGATCTGTTTTCTATTTTCTCCTCCGGATTGAACTCATCTGGATGAGAACCGGTTTCCTGTTTACTATTATCCTTACCTGTGTGGGGTAGTTTGCCTGATGGTTTATTTCCCGTTAGATGAAAGCGCCCGTGGGAAGAGTTAGATAAACCTTCTGTGAGAAAACTCGGCGGGTGGTGGTGGAATCCAAGTGCTTTAGAGCAGGCTCCACTCTTACACTTAAAAAAATTTTTTTTTCCCCGACACAGGGTTTCTCTGTGTAGTCCCGGCTGTCCTGAACTCGCTTTGTAGACTAGGCTGGCCTCGAACTCACCGAAACCCGCCTGCCTCTGCCTCCCCGAGTGCTGGGATTAAAGGCGTGCGCTACCACCCCAGGCCACTCTCAAACTTTTTTAAAAAAGGAAAACTCCCAAGTTTCAATTTTACAGGGCAAAGAAAACCTCGGAAGGAAGGAGAGGGGGATGGAAAGGAGGAGGCAAACTCCATCTCTCGCCCCCGGGGGTCTCTTTGGTTTTGTGCACACCCACACCCTTACGCAGGTCAGTTTCTGTACAGCCGCGCCAGCCGCTGACCCCGGGCATCGCCAGCGCTTGCCGAATAAGGCCGAGCCTTTGCTCTGAGCGGACGCGACCTCCGGGACGCGGACGGTTAGGGGGACTGTGCCCGCGCCTTCCCCCGGGCTGAGGCCGAGGGGCAGAGAGGGCTCCCGGGGCGGGGCGGGGCGGGGCGGCGGTGAGGGGCTCCCTGGGCCGCCGGGGAGGGTGTCCGCCGCCGGGGAGGGTCTCCGCCGCTCTCCCGGAAGGAGGAGCCGGAGGGCAGGGGACCGCGGGGCGGAGCTCTTCGCAGCCGAGGTGGGAAGGCGCAGCCGCGAGCCAGGGGGCCGAGCTCCGCCGCGCTCTCAGGCTCTGCCCGACCCCGCGGGGCTGGGCCAACTCCCACCTCCGCCCCCGGCAGCCCCCGCCCCGCCCCGCCCACCCTCAGCCGGGTCCCCCCTCCATCCCGCTCTGCGGAACTCCGCGCTTCTTCCCACCCCTTTTTTTTTTTTTTTGGTAACACCCCAGAACTCCGAGTCCCCTAACTGAATTCGACTTCTGTTTTTATTCCTCTCTTGCTTCCTCCTCTGCCCGCCTCATCTGATTGATGTGCGAAGGCTGATGCCTCTGCCAGAGCGAGAGGAATAAATAGATGCCGCCTCGCCGCGAGGCTTAGACGCCTGCGGAGAGCAGCCGGCGCAGCGAGGCAGCGGGCTCCGCCGAGCTCGTGGACCGCAGCGGGAGGACGTGGGTCCGAGCGAGCCGTGCTTGTCCGCCCCGCGCCACCCCGCCGGGACCATGGTCTGCAGCGGCCCGGGACGGATGCTGCCGCCGCGCGCCGGGCTGCCGGTGCTGGCTGCCGCGCTCTGCCTGCTCCGGGTGCCCGGGGCTCGGGCGGCGACCTGCGAGCCGGTCCGCATCCCCCTCTGCAAGTCCCTGCCCTGGAACATGACCAAGATGCCCAACCACCTGCACCACAGCACCCAGGCTAACGCCATCCTGGCGATCGAGCAGTTCGAAGGTCTGCTGGAGACGCGCTGCAGCCCGGACCTCCTCTTCTTCCTCTGCGCCATGTACGCGCCCATCTGCACCATCGACTTCCAGCAGGAGCCCATCAAGCCCTGCAAGTCCGTGTGCGAGCGCGCCCGGCAGGGCTGCGAGCCCGTTCTCATCAAGTACCGACACTCGTGGCCCGAGAGCCTGGTCTGCGACGAGCTTCCGGTGTACGACCGCGGGGTGTGCATCTCTCCCGAGGCCATCGTCACCGCGGACGGGGCCGGTGAGTCCCCGGCTCTGCCGGGCCTCTGAGGAGGAGCCTTTTGCCTTTATCCTCCAGCTCGCTCTGTTCCTCAGACCGCTTAATCCTCTCCTTAAGCACTGCTTTATTGAGTCCTGATCTTCCACTTAGAAACCTAACAAAAAATTCCCTTTGTCGTCCCCCTAAACAAACTCCACCTCTTCCAACAGGTGATCGGATCCACCCTTTCGGTCCCTCCTCTTCACAGTGAACCTCCAAAGCTCTCCTTCCCTTCCCTTCCCTTCCCTTCCCTTCCCTTCCC